TCTTCAGCTCAAGGCTAGCACTCTATCATTTGAGCCACAGTGCCACTTCTGGCTTTTTTCTTTTTGCTTATGTGGTGCTGAGGAATCGAACCCAGGGCCTCAAGCATGAAGGCAAGTGCTCTACCACTGAGCCACCTTCCCAGCCCAGTAAATACGAATTTCTTTACCTGAAATTTAGCAATCATAATATATATTCATACAAAGATGGTTGAGTATTTACTGAATAAACACCAGGAAGATTAAAAAAATTGTTGGACAATTGTGCATATTCATGGACATAATGTGAGTTTTCAATGTATGCATAGAAAGTGCAAGGGTCAGGTAAGAGGAATATGCATCTGTATCATTTCAAACATTGTTTCTTTGTATTAGGAAAAATATATTTTATAAAATATAGTAAACTATTGTTAATTATATTCATCCTACTGTGAGCACTGTACACAGTGTTCTTCTACTTAGCTAACTCTGTTTTTGAACTTATTAACTAATAATTTCCTAATTCTTCTCATCTTTAATCTTCCCACCCGGTGGTAACCACTCTGTCTACTCCTAAAGATCAGCTTCTTTATTCTCTACACATAAGTAGGAACATGAAATATTTGGCTTGTTTCATTTAACATCCTATCTTCTAATGTCACAAATGACAGAATTTCACCCCTTTTCATGGCTATATCATACTATTCCATTATATAAATATGACACATTTTTCTTTTTTCTCCTTTTAAAATTATATATTGGTGAGTTTTACTATGAAATTTTTATTCATATTTATAATTAATAATAAATTTTACTTATATATAATGCAGTCATCTCTTGATGGACCCTTAGGTTGATTCCATAACTTAGTAATTGAGGATAGTACTACAATAAACATGAGAGTGCAGAAATCTCCTCAGCATACTGATTTCCTTTCCTTTCAGTATACACCTAGAAGTTAAGTAATGGGTCATAGTTATTGGTTGTATATGTCGACTAACAACTTGCATACCTAGTTAAATGCCACTAAATTCTGAGGCATACATTTTTTGATGTGTTGTTAGATTCAGTTTTCAGAAGAGCTTTCTAATTTGCATGTGAGATTAGGGGAGACATTTATCTGATGTCTTTCACCCTCTGTGATGCTGAAGTGTTTCAAATTTTATGGAAGCCTCACTTTGTTTGTAGTAACACTTGGATGGAGGTAGCAAATAAACATAAGAAGAGGACTGAATAAAGGATTTTAGGTCCTTCATGAAGAAACCATGAAGAATCATTGAGGCCACTTGAGATTTTTCTTTCAACTCCCTGAAGCAGTGTGTCCTGGTCTCCAACTCTCAGAGCATTGGTGCACAGCTAGGGATGCTTGGCTCTCATTAAGTACTTCTGATAGCATAAAAATGTAGGGATAATGGTTCTACCACTCCATAAAACAAAATGGCCCATAAAGTAGCCCCATATCAGGCTCTGAGAATTTAAAATCTGTCATCTGCTTCTGGGCTCTCATTTCTACTACAGGCAAGATGTTATTCTTTTCTTCCTCCTCCTTCTCCTCTTTGCTCATTTTCATGCGCTTTCTCTTTCCAATTTATGATATTCTTCAACTAGGTTTTGGAAAATTGTAAGGTATGGTTTGTTGGTAAGAAAGAAAAGTAAGATCTGGTGGAGCTCTGTGAAAGGAAAGTATTCAAAAGGTCTGTCCTTTCTCTGGGTATGTGATTCAGGCCATGTGTGTGTAAACTGTGCACTTTCCTCAATGTGCTAACTTTTCGCTATAAGAAAGATGTCTGTCTTCCCAACATATTGGCTTAACCTGCTCTGATAATTATTTGAACTTTTAAAAGCAGGGACAAATCTTTCTGTTTGTGGCAACAAAAAGTTCCACTGTGATATGCTTTGGTATCATGACAGCTATCAAGTCTGTGCGTATGAGAAAAACATAAAATCAATGTATCTGTGTAGTTCGGAGAGTCAGAACTTCACAAAGTCAAATCTTTTATGGCGAAGTGGGAAATATTACTTACAGCAGAGGGAGACCAATATGAAGCAATAACAACCATGTTGTTATTATTATGTACTGCACACAAGGCTACGTAGTAAGTGACCACATATGGTACTTGCATTATTTTAATTTAGGGAGGAGGAGTTTCACAACTTGTTAGTGGCCACTAAGTAACAGCTGGTAAGTGGGTGGAGAACTTGGACATTTTTAGTGTTGATAAAGCTAGTAGGTAGAAGAGATTTGAGTTTAGCCATCCTGCCAATGATTAAAATTAAATCATAGTGGGTAAAAGTTCTAACTCTTAGACTCATCTATAAATGGAATGATCTATTTTTTTTGTTGTTGTTGGTAATGGGGTGTGAACCCTGGGCCTGGGTGCTGTCCCTCAGTTCTTCAGCTCAAGGCTAGCGCTCTACCACTTGAGCCACAGCACCACTTCTGGCCTTTTCTGTTTATGTGGTGCTGAGGAATCAAACCGAGGGCCTCATGCATGTGAGGCAAGCACTCTACCACTGAGCGAGCCCGTAATGATCTATTTTTGCAGGGTTTACAGTATCTGTTCATGCAGCGTTCAGAGTTGGACTGAATTGTCAGTCAGCAGAGCAATTGTATGGGAGAATTTTAGTGGCTGGTCTTGATTTTTTTCCACAAGTTTCTTCCAAATTGCAATTGTAGATTCCTCAAGTTTAAGTTCCAGGAGAGACAGTGTGATGAACACAAATACCCATGGTTAGCAGTGCATCAGAATTCAGATGTTGGAGAGCAGATGGAGATCAGGGAAGCAGATAAAGGCTCTTAAGGCAGGGTCTCTAGGATTTCTGTCTTATTTGTGATTTTTTCAATATGTATGTATAATTTTGTCAATTCTAGAGAATTCACTGATGAATGGAAAGTACTTTGTCACAGACTTTTGTTTATCTGTTAGTGTGAATACTCTGTGAATCACAGTGGGTCAGACAACCAAAGCAAAACCACTCTCTGAAATGGGACTTCAGTGTTCATGAATTAAATTTCTCCTTTCAATGTTGGTAGATGTTCTGGAGGACAGTTTATGCTTTTCTTTAGTATTTGGCCTACATTTTTGTAAATATTATTTCTTTGGAATTTCCATACGTTCTCCACTACAATGAATTCAGGCAAGGACTGAAGCTGAAGTGACCTCTGGAGGGTTTTCCTTCATGGAAAGTTTATATATGGCTACCGTGAAGTGATTCAAGCTTCTGTGAAGTTACCCCACAATGTGAAAAACTGTCATTCTTAGCCTTAATTTCAATTTCTGTAATATTTCCTCTATTGTTCTTTTTACATCTGACCATGTGTAGATAATAGATTCTGTATGTGTAAAGCAAAACACAACAGGTATTCTAACTTAGAACATAGATTTAATTAAAAGCACAATCCTACTCCACTCAAGAAACTGAAGATTAGTCTGAAGGAACACTAAGTACTCTGGCAACTTGGAATATGGAGGAAGGCCACAGACAATAGATGACTTAATGTCCATTTGATGAAGATTATTGAGATTGTTATGTAATTAAGAATTTAAGTCAGCATATACCCACCATTGTTTTGACTCTTTTCATTTATCGCTATTGTTGTTGTGCTACTCATTGGGAAGGAGGTAAATATGTTTTTGATTATAGGGTCTAATGTGGGATGGTGATTTGGAATACCTGGTTTGAGTCAGGCCTATGCTCTTGACAGAAAGAAGTGTTTTTGAAGGAGTTGGAGTATATATAGTTAAGAACTAGAGAAGCATATTCAAAAGGTAGAAATTTACTGGCCACATAATCATAATCGTTCAGAGGCCAAAGTAGGCACTGGTGACCTTGCCAGTTAGAGGAGAACTTGACTTTAAAATGGTTTTCTCTGATATATTTATCCCTAGATGTAAAATAGCATCATGCTGCTGTATAATGTTGAATGAGTTACTAATATATTCTATTGTTAGCTCATCTGTGGCATAAGTTTCCATTGCCTTGTACACTCTCTTTTCCCAAGTGAATCTTTAACCTTATTACTATTATTTATTTATTTATTTTTTAGCATGGCTCCAGGTAGTTCTGCCCTTTGATCATACCTCAAATTTTGGATGAAATTTACTTTCCAACTTAATAATAGGAAGAACACAGGCTAGGAAAGGCTGCTTACTACAATAAGACAAAGTCTTTAATATATTATGTCACTAAACTTGGAAGTTAAACAATGATTTTTCTTTCCTTAAGTATATGGAAGTGGTTTCAGCAAGCAGACTCATTGATAGCATCCTCACTGCTGAGCTCAAATTCATGCAGGCAGATATATGTCCCAAGACATGCACTTTCATTTGTTTTATTAAGTCTGTTGAAGGCTATGATACCATATTGTGGTATTCCATTGCTTTTCACCTTTTCCCTTTCTCCACCACCATCTCCTTCACAATGCCTAGTAGATGATATTAAAATAGAAAAAAATCATTAAGAAGAGGGACTCAAATAACTCTATGACTTTGAGTATTGTGATCTTTATCCATCATCTCTGAGACACAGTGGGGATGGAGGGAGGGCCTGTTAACTCATATTTACACACACATCCCTGGCATTGCGTGTGATCTTCTCAATAGTCACTTTTTCCTCATGAAGTTTCTCGTATTTCTTAAAAGTTGTATCCCACCAGAAATATTAAAACTGTTTAAATGTTATGATGTTACATCCTACTAGGATTTGTCATGGAGTATAAAAGCTATACACAATAGTCATGTTACTTACAATAGCTATATTTCCTTTTTGTATTAGCCTCAATTAGCTGTACAAGAAGGTATCATCTCGGCATGTCCAAATGTGCAATGTACCTCAATAAGTCTCATCCCTTTACTCCTTTTCCCTTGTCCCATACTTCCCTAATGGATCTCAATAAGTTTCACTGTAACATTTTTACATATATAACAGCTATATTTTTCTTATATTTTTTAGATTATTACACTTCCAGCCCTTGAATATTGCAATTGGTGCTGCTTCTTTCTTAGTCTTCAAGATTAAACATCATGGAAGGAGAAAACCAAACCTCTTTCTTTGTCTTCATCATCATGGGATTCTCCAACTTAAATCATCTGCAATTTTTACTATTTACCACCTTTCTTATGATCTATCTATGTACCCTTGGAGGAAATACTTTCATTATTTTGATGACACTGATGGACTCTCGACTACATACCCCCATGTATTTTTTCCTGAGGAACTTGGCTTTTCTAGACATCTGCTATACCACCACCAATGTGCCCCAGATGATGGTGCATCTCCTCTCAGAGAAGAAAAGCATTTCCTTTGGGGGCTGTGTCACTCAATTTTTTGCATTCCTTTCCTTGGTTGGTGTAGAGTGTCTTTTGCTGGCAACAATGGCCTATGACCGTTACATTGCAATCTGCAAGCCTTTAAGGTATTTAGTCATTATGCACAAGGCCCTGTATAGCCAACTTGCAGCCTCCTGCTGGGTTTGTGGTTTCCTGAACTCAGTGGTGCACACAGTCATGACGTTCCGTCTGCCCTTCTGTGGCAATAACAAGATCAATTATTTCTTCTGTGACATCCCACCTTTGCTGGTCTTGTCTTGTGGGGACACTTCTGTTAATGAGTTGGTAATACTCTTCCTTGGAGTCTTCATTGGATGGGCTCCTTTCCTGGGCATTATCCTTTCCTACATCTACATCATCTCTACCATCTTGAAAATCCATTCTTCCAAGGGGAGGAAAAAGGCTTTTTCTACATGTGCCTCCCACTTGCTCATTGTCCTTCTCTACTTTGGCAGTGCCATCTTCACGTATGGAAGACCCATCTCATCTTACTCACTGGGCAAAGACAGGCTGATCTCAGTATTATACAGTGTTGTCACTCCCATGCTAAACCCTATAATTTATACGCTGAGGAATAAGGACATCAGAAAGGCCTTGAGAACTGTGGCAGAAAAAATAGCTACTTTCAAATCTAATTTCCCTTGAAGTATATTATCAAAAAAGTTAGTCTATGATTTGATAACTTATTTAATAACAATGTTTAGTTTAGTAATACTATCTAGTTGTTGCTAGCAACAAATTCCTAGGAATTAAACGTTAATTTCAATAATAAAACAAATGTGGCAAAATATTAATAGCAGATGGTAAATTTGGGTGAAGAGTGCCTGGTATCATTGCTGTTTTATTCTTAAGATTTTGTATGTTATCAAATATTTCTGATATATAAGGTTAAAAAGCGAATCAGAAGCTTACGTCTGTATGACACCCTTGTTTCTGTATGTGTGAAGGCATTTGTTAATTTACCTGTTCTTGTTAAAATTGCTTCTTCTAAGGTGAGCTACCTCTTGGTTTGTGCTTTTATTAGTCTACCAAACGAAAATCTTCAAGTTTCACTAAAGTTACCTACTTAACTAAGACCTAAGAATGACTTTTGGATAAGCAAGTCATACTTAAGAATGATTTTAAATAAATAAATATAACAGAATAAGAGAGAGCTCTGGTTGATTTTTGTGGTGGAATTAGTCAAAAGTGAAGTTTTTCTTGTTCCACTTTCTGTTCACTGCTCTGGTATGTTTTTATTTCTTAGGTCAAGGGTACTTAGTTCTCTAAATCCAAGCTCTGCCACTATCTGATCTTTCAAATATTGGCTCCATGCTATTGTTACACACCCTGAACTCTAGTCTTTACTTTTCTACCACACTCCAATCTCATTATCAAATGTTTCCCTTTATATGTATATATTTATTGGTAATTGTATTTTAAGCTTATTATCCTTAAGTAGTTACAAAGGGCTTTCAATTCCATTCCACATGTCACTTTGTGAGTACAATGCATTTATTTTTGTGCCTGTCCTGAGGTTTGAACTCAGGGCTTGGGTGCTGCTCTAGCATTTTTGTGCTCAAGGCTAGTACTTTTCCATTTGAGCCACACAGCTCCACTCCAGCTTTTTTTTGGTGGTTAATTGGAGATAGTCTCATGGACTTTCCTGCCTGGAATGGCTTCATACCATGATCTTTAGATCTCAACCTTATGAGTAGTTGGGATTATAGGTGTGCACTACCAGTGCCTAGTATAAACAATGATATTTCTGAAAGGAACTTTTGCAAATAGCATCAACAATTTACATATACTCCCATTTTTATGCAAATTCATTCTCTAGGAATTTATTTTAGGTAGGCAATACACATACTCTCTAATATATTTTCAAAGATTTAAAAAAGTAAAAAAATGACAGCAATCTAAATGCTACAACAAATATAATAATGATAGCTATGGATGACAAGATAGTATGAGTCAGGTAATAATACCATGTGTTGTAAGGAGAGAGGAAAATGTACCCCTGAGGCAAAACCATGAGGAGCTCAGTATAGGATTCTTTTGTACAGATAGAGAAAAGGAAATCAAGCAAAGCTTTGGAGAGCATGGGGCGGGACCAGGGAATTTTTTTCCCTGGGCCATGTTGACTCATCTTCCATTGATCTCTGTGATGGTTGACTTTTTTTTTTTTAATTTAATTTAATTTTATTTGAGAACATACTGTACAGAGGGGTTACAATTACATGGGCAAGATAATGCATACATTTCTTACCAAGCATTGCAGCCTCCTCCTTTGTTTACCCTTCACCTCCCTTCCCAGCCGCCCCCCTCCCCCCCACCCAATCATACCCCCCCTTTCCCCCTCAACACCCACATTGTAAAGCTGGTTTTGACATGACATTTTGTACTTCTCATTGTTGCAACAGGTCCACCTGAATCCTTAAACGACTTGTTTGTCCCCGTCTCCTCCACATGTTATACTGACATCAAATATAGTGAAAGCGGGGGTTATACTGTGGGGGAGGGACATACAAAGCAACAAAGAAATAATCTTATAAATGCGTTAGAAACACATGCATGAAAGAAACAAAAACATTAAAATACATGTTTAAGGGTTCGTTTTCCTAACATCACATTATCTGACCTTTTCCGCTTGACTCATACCTATACTAGATATTGCAAATAAGGGAAACCATGGGACCTATGTTTCTTTGGGCCTGGCTTACTTCACTTAATATAATTTTTTCCAAGCCTTTCCATTTCCTAACAAATGGGGAAATGTCATTCTTTCTGATGGAGGCATAGAATTCCATTGTGTATATATACCACATTTTCTTGATCTATTCATCTACTGAGGGGCATCTGGGTTGGTTCCATATCTTAGCTATGGTAAATAATGCTGCAATAAACATAGTTGTGCTGGTAGCTTTAGTGTGGTCTTTTTTGTAAACATTAGGGTAAATGCCCAAAAGTGGGATTGCTGGGTCATAGGGGAGTTCTATGTGAAGTCTTTTGAGGAACCTCCACACTGCTTTCCAAAGTGGTTGAACAAGTTTACATTCCCACCAACAATGAAGTAAGGTTCCTTTCTGTCCACATCCCCTCCAGCATCTGTTGTTGTTAGAGTTCTTGATTTTTGCTGTTCTAACTGGAGTGAGGTGATATCTCAATGTTGTTTTGATTTGCATTTCTTTTATGGCTAGGGATGTTGAACATTTCTTCATGTGTCTATTGGCCATCCTTCTTTCTTCTTCAGAGAAGCTTCTCTTTACGTCTTTCGCCCACTTATTTATTGGGCAGTTGTTTCTTTGAGGATTTGTTGTTGGGTGGTTTAATTTTTTGAGTTCCAAGTATATTTTAGATATGAGACCCTTGTCCGTTGTATGGCTAGTAAAGATCTTCTCCCAATCCATGGGCTTTCTATTGATCTGGCTAGCTATGTCATTTGCCCTGCAGAAGCTCTGCAACCTTATGCAATCCCATTTGTCCAACCTTTCTTCGATTTGTTGTGTTTCTGGGTCTCTATTCAGAAAATTTCGGTCTGAGCCAAGGAGACCTAGGGTTTCTCCTATTCCATCCTGTAATGTTTTCAGAGTGTCTGCTTTGAGTTCAAGGTCTTTGATCCATTTGGAGTTGATTCTGGTGCAGGGTGATATATAAGGATCTAGCTTTAGTTTTCTACATGTAGTTAACCAATTTTGCCAGCACCATTTACTGAAGAGGCTGTCTTTCTTCCATTCTATTGTTTTAGCTCCCTTATTGAAGATTAGATGGCTATAGGTCTGTAGGTTCATTTCTGGGTTTTCAATTCTATTCCATTGGTCCTGAGGTCTGTTCTTATGCCAATACCAAGCTGTTTTGATTACTATGGCTTTATAGTAGAATTTGAAATTTGGTATTGATATTCCTCCAGCAGTGTTCTTTCCGTTGAGGAGCATTTTTGCTATTCGGGGTCTTTTATTGTTCCATATGAATTTTTGGATTGCCTCTTCTATTTCCTTGAAGAATGAGGGTGGGTGATGGTTGACTTTTAATCCCACTAAATACAAAGGAACTTATTCCAATATCCTAGAATTCTATGAGAGGAGCTCCTAGGATCAGAGCTCAGGAAGATGTCAAGGATTGAGGGATTTCAGTGTCTCAACCAAAATTATAGTCCATCATCCAGTGTGACCAGATAATCATCCCATCTACTAGATAGCCAAGAATCAGTAAAGAGTGAAGGCAAGATCCTGGGAAATGGGACCCTTGCACTATCTTGAGGGAGATGCACATTTAGTAGAAGTCATAAAATGAATAAAAAGTCACTACTGAGTTAAGTGCTGTGAGAACAAGCTTATAGAAATCATGTAAGCAGAGAACCTGGAGAACTTAGTTCCACAGACCTATTCCCAGTATCTAAAACATATGAGAAAGATAAGAAACAATGAGAAAAACAGGAAGAGAATGTTACAAAATTCTATACTAGAATACCAAAAATAAATCTTGGAAACTTAAGAAATTTGTAAATCAACAATTCAACAGGTAAGTTGGAAGACTCATGGAGTTGTACAAGTGGAGAAAATTAGCAGACATACTGGAATAGTAAGGACACCAGGCTATTACTCAAGAAATCCAAGCTTTGGACTGGGAAGGTGGCTCAGTGGTAGAGTGCTTGCCTTGCATGCTTGAGGCCCTGGGTTCGATTCCTCAGCACCACATAAGCAGAAAAGGCCAGAAGTGGCACTGTGGTTCAAGTGGTACAGCGCTAGCCTTGAGCTGAAGAGCTCAGGGACAGCGCCCAGGCCCAGAGTTCAGGCCCCATGACTTAAAAAAAAAAAGAAAAAGAAACCAAACTTTTTACAAGTACCCCTCCCCATAAAAAATAAAGACTATTAAGAATGATTGGAAAATCTCAAAAAAATTTGTGAGTTTACCTGGAAAAATGTACATTTTTCATGGCCTTCTCCAGGGGTTTATTGTTCTTACCATGGTAGAACAGACCCATACCAAGACACCTTACAATGAAATTTGAGGAAGTGGAGGGAAAAGGACCCCAAAGACGGGAAAACAGCTTTAGAAACTTGCAAACAAGTCTGGTATGACAGGAATTCTAACAAGTCATAAGACTTTGTTAGCTGTTGATGAATTGGAATACCTATATATGGAAATATTTTCTCTATTTAAACTTGGTAACACTACAAATCATAATAGTACAATAGTACAATAGATGTGTTGCATTATTACAATAGCATTATTATAATGCATTAATACATACATGAAGTTGCTTCTGCTGAACGTCTCTAAAACTAATCTTATACACATAAATTAAACAAATTCATTTCTACTGTTCAGTCTTCCCTGTTTTACCATAATTTTTCCAAATCTTTCCATTAAAATGTCTGTAGAACCCAGCTTATAATTGATTATTTTCAGTTTTTATTATGTTTCTCTAAATTATCTTTTTGCATTCACTAAATGTTAGATTTCTCAAAGGTACGAGATGTGGTTTCTCTTTCAGATGCTTTTTCCCCCTCATTATCAACAAAGCAGTCTGTCAAGATTGATTATTTTTAATAGCAGTGTGGTGGCTTCCCAAGAACAAAAGAAGGGAATAAATAAAATGATACTTAGGGGAAGAGAAATATGGAGCAAATAACTCCATGGAGAGAAGAGGAAATCCCAAGATC